ATAGCACCGCCATATACAGCACAGCCTATAGGCTAAAGATGCCTGCATTTACATTGAATGACATCAGATCACCCATGTGCAAGAACTCTAAAGCTTACCATCATTTAAAAAAAAAAAAAAAAAAGAAAATGATTTGTACTATCGAAAGGTTTATGTAAATATTCACACAATTACTTGGTGCACACATATATTCTAATTTACAACCATAGCAAAAACTGTATAGTCATACCGCGAGTTGGCATTTGCTTAATGAATACATATATTCAAAGTCATATAGTAACTGTGCCCAGATGAAACCTATTCAAAAACTGTACATATAAAGAGTCACAATAATAATAAAAAATTTGGATCATAAACGGTTTCTATTTTGGCCTTTCATTTACAACGGTATAGTTTTTTAAGAGTTTCATTTTGCATCTTACCTTTTAAATGTAGCCTAAAATTGAGGCCTTATCCAAAACAAAGACAAGTATGAGCTTTATTCCAGGTCATCTGTATTGCACTGACTATATACATTTAGATATGACAGACATGACTATTTCACGTCATCAGAGAGGTAAAAATAGCTGGGAAATGTAGATTTGCTCTTTTTCCCTCCATGCAACCTTCATGGGAATTAGTTCTAGCCTTGCAGTGTTGTGGTGCTGAATTTAAATCGGACCAGAGGACGATCTTCACAGAGATTTTATGTTCTCCTTCTGAATATATAGGGGTCCCTCAGGGTGTTCTGGCTATCTTAAAATGACTAGATAGGTTTGCTTGTTTGGTGAAACCGTGAAAGAGATGTTTTATTTTCAAGCTCCGCTTGGGCAAATACTAATTCAGTGTACTGCACAAATTAGGAATTGGTCTGGCCAACATTTTATTTATATATATATATATATATATATATATATATATATCTCTATATCTATCTATCTATCTATCTATCTATCTATCTATCTATCTATCTATCTATCTATACACACATATACATACACACACACACACACATACATGCCACTATATTATGTACACCTGTTCAATTGCGTGGTAACACAAATTCCTAATCAATCACATGGCAGCAACTTAATGCATTTAGGCATCTAGACGTGGTGAAGACAACTTGCTGACGTGCAATCTGATCATCAGAATGGGGAAGTAAGGGGATTTAAGTGACTTTGAACGTGCAGTGGTTGTTGGTGCCAGATGAGCTGGTCTGAGTAATTAAAAAACTGCTGATCTACTGGGATTTTCATACACACATCCATCTCGAGGGTTTAGAGAATGGTCCAAAAAAGAAAAAAAATATCCAGTGAGCGGCAGTTGTGTGGACAAAAATGCCTTGTTGATCTCAGGGGTTGGAGGAAAATGGGCAGAATGGTTCGAGATGATAGATAGCCAACAGTAACTCATGTCAATATGGACCAAAATCTCTGAGGAAGGTTTCCAACACCTTGTTGATGCCACAAAGAATTAAGGCAGTTCTGAAGGCAAAAGGGGGTCCAACCAAGTACTAGCAAGGTTTACCTAATAAAGTGGCCAGTGAGTGTATATATACACATACACACAACCATTTCATGGTTTATGCCATCAATACGCATTTATGCGGCGGTAGGAAGGGTGGTCAGTAATGCATCACTCTCTAGTTCTCGGATGTGGTTCATCTGAACCCCAGAACTCTGATCAAGCTTTCACGAATGGCTCACGGTCAACTACAGTGGTCAGGAGGTGGTAGGAAAGGCTCCCAATTATGTCAGCACTGTACAGCCAATTACAGTGCCATAAAGGGTATAAAAAAAAAAAAAGAAGAAAAGGCCTTACATATGCACACACCTTACTTCCAGGTATGGAAACCTTGAGACTTTGTTCAATCACAAGCTCAAGTGATATCACATGGGGGCGTGGGGGCATGTTAACTAGTGAGTAGGTACTAACATCAGTGTATGGTTCATATTTGCTTTGGATCTTTGTGTGGGCTACAGCTGGGGCCAGGTGGTGCACCAGTCGTGGGTATGTTTAGGTTGCTTTAAACATGGGTTTGCCTTAAAATAGTTGTAAACCTCTGACATGAAATATGAAGAAAGGATATCCCTCAATAGTGTAACCACTAAGTGTCATTTCTGGCTACTGCCTTGTTCCTCTGATATCCGTATGACTCACTTCTGACCAAAAGAAACAAAGGTGACAGGGGAGAGCACAGTCAGTGATTGACACCCTCAGCTTGGTTCCTGTGTGCCATGTGAAGGGAGGTGTGTCTCTTCTCTCCAATCAGCTCTCGGAGCTCTCTTCACTGAGTGTAACTTCAGCTCCCCGCCCCCCCTGTTTTTCAGAGCCGAGACATCCTGTGGAAATTCTGCACTTTGAATGGGTGTAGGGGACAGAGCTTAGATAAAAAGGTACAACTTATGTAGGCGTATTTCTTTCATCTTTGTGTATCACCTGCGGCCAGTCACTTCACTTGGTATTTGTGAGGGTTTACAGCCACTTTAAACTTAATTTGTGACTTGCCCATGCAGAGACGAGCCACAGGTTCACTTTAACCGCTTGCCCACTGCCCTATAGTAGAAGTACTGCTACAGGGCAGCAGGGCTGCGCAAAACCACGTATATATAAACACAGCTGATTTGCATTTCTGGGTAGGGGGAGAGTGCATGTGCCACCCTACCCACGCCACCATTGGCGACTAGAAATGTCAATCACTGGGTCCCGGCCCGGCAATTTCCCGCCAGCACCTGGTGATCATTGGGGAAAGCCGATGGGAGAGACCTCCTGTCAGCAAGGACATGCTGTTTGCATTTATAAACACAGCATGCCTCCCTAGTAAACCAGCACACAGTTTGATTAGTGTCATTTCATGGTAGGGGGAGAAGTGCATGTGCCCCTACCCTGATACTAATATATGATATATATATATAGACAAGATAGTTCAAGCCATGATTTGTCAGAATAATTTTGACCTAAATTTATGTTAGATTTTTTTTTTAACATTTTTTTATGGCAAAAAGTCAAAAAAATACAAAATTGTAGATCTTTTTGTGTTTATAGTGCAAAAAATTAAAAACGCAGAGGTCATGAAAAAGCCCCAATTCCACAATCTCAGAAAATGAGATAGACAAGATAGTTCAAGCCATGATTTGTCATAATTGTGATGATTACACAGCTCATGAAAACCCCAATCCCCAATCTCAGAAAATTAAATATTACATGCAATCAATAAAACAAGGATTGTACATAGAACAATATCCAACCTCTGAAAAGTATAAGCATGCATATGTACTCAGTACTTGGTTTGGGCCCCTTTTGTAGCAATTACTACCTCGATGTGGCGTGGCATGGAAGCTATCAGCCTGTGGCAGGTGTTATGGAAGACCAGAATGCTTCAATAGCGGCCTTCAGCTCTTCTGCATTGTTCAGTCTCATGTCTCTCATCTTTCTCTTGGCAATGCCCCATAGATTCTCTATGGGGTTCAGCTCAGGCGAGTTTGCTGACCAATCAAGCATAGTAATCCCCGGTCATTAAACCAGGTTTTGGTGCTTTGGCAGTGTGGGCAGGTGCCAAGTCCTGCTGGAAAATGAAGTCAGCATCCCCATAAAGCTCGTCTGCGGAAGGAAGCATGAAGTGCTCCAAAATCTCCTGGTAGACGGCTGCGTTGACCCTGGACTTAATGAAGCACAGTGGACCAACACCAGCAGATGACATGGCTCCCCAAATCAACACAGACTGTGGAAACTTCACACTGGACTTCATGCATCTTGCCGTGTGTGCCTCTCCATTCTTCCTCCATACTCTGGGTCCTTGGTTTCCAAATGACATGCAAAAGTTGCTCTCATCAGAAAAGAGGACTTTGGACCACTGAGCAACAGACCAGGTCTGTTTTTCTTTAGCCCAGGTAAGACGCTTCTGACGTTGTTTGTTGTTCAGGAGCGGCTTGACAAGAGGAATACGACATATGAAGCCCATGTCCAGGATCTGTCTGTGTGGTGGCTCTTGATGCACTGACTCCAGCCTCAGTCCACTCCTTGTGAAAGTCCCCAACACTTTTGAATGGCCTTTTCCTGACAATCCTCTCCAGGCTACGGTCATCCCTGCTGCTTGTGCACCTTTTTCTTCCACACGTTTCCCTTCCACATAACTTTCTATTAATGTGCTTTGATACAGCACTTTGGGAACATCCAACTTCTTTTGCAATTACCTTTTGAGGCTTTCCCTCCTTATGGAGGGTGTCAATGATGGTTTTCTGCACAACTGTCAGGTCAGCAGTCTTTCACATTATTGTGGTTCCTACTGAACCAGACTGAGAGACCATTTAAAGGCTCAGGATCCCTTTGCAGGTGTTATGGCTTAATTAGCTGATTAGAATGGGACACTTTGAGCCGAGAATATTGCACCTTTTCACAATATTCTAATTTTCTGAGACTGTGGATTTGGGGTTTTCATGACCTGTAAGCCATAATCATCACAATTATGACAAATCACGGCTTGAACTATCTTGCTTTGCATGTAATGAGTCTATCTCATATATTAGTTTCACCTTTTAAGTTGAATTACTAAAATAAATGAACTTTTGCACAATATTCTAATTTTTTGAGTGTTGCATGACCGTGCAATTGTCAGTTAACCACTTCCATACAGGTCACTTTTACCCCCTTCCTGTCCAGGCCAATTTTCAGGTTTCAGCACTCTCACATTTTGAATGACAATTGCGCGGTCATACAACATTGTACTCAAACTAAAATTTTATCATTTTCTTCACACAACTAGAGCTTTCCTTTGGTGGTATTTAACTAGTTGCCGACTGCAGATAGCCGAATGACGGCTACACTGCGGCCGGCCAGTTCTGAGTGGACATCATATGACGTCCTCCCAGAACGCGCTCTCCTGCGCGCCCCAGGGGGCGCGCACCCGGCGATCTCCGTGATCGCTGTGTCCTACAGACACAGCTGATCACGTGATGTGGTAAAAGGCCAATCACAGCGGTGTCCAATGACACGGTGTCCAATGACACGATCAGAGGGAAATGCAAGTGCCGGTTCTCGGCTGCACTTTCCTCACGCCGTCAGATCGTGAGGAAAGTACTGCCGAGAACCGGCAGTTGTCAGAGCGGGGATCGGCACCGATCATCAGGGCACTGATGATCAGTGCCCTGATGATCGGTGCCCAGCAGTGCCACCCGCAAGTTCCGCCCACCTGTGCCCAGCAGTGCGCCCACTAGCTCCGCCCACCTGTGCCCAGCAGATCACCCACCTGTGCACCCACCTGTTCCCAGCAGTGCACCCACCTGTGCCACTCTGCAGTGTCACACACCTGTGCCCAGAAGTGCCACCCACCTGTTCCCAGCAGTGCCACCCACCTGTGCCCACCAGTGCCACCCACCTGTGCCCACCCACCAGTGCTACCCACCAGTGCCGCCCAGCAGTGCTGCCAGTCAGTGCCACCAGTCAGTGCCCAGGGGTTGTGCCAGTCAGTGCCGCCAGTCAGTGCCCAGCAGTGATGCCAGTCAGTGCCGTCTATCAGTACCCATAATCAGTGTCACCTATCAGTGCCGCCTATCAGTGCTGCATATTAGTGCCGCCTATCCGTGACACCTCATTAGTGCGGTCTATCAGTGCCGCCTATCCGGGCCACCTCATTAGTACTGCCTATCAGTGCCCTTTAGTGCTGCCTATCAGTGCCCATCAGTGCCCAGTGCTGCCTCATCAACGCACATCAGTGAAGGAGAAAAAATACCTGTTTGAAAAATTTTATAATAGAAACAAAGAAACTTTTCTTTTTTTTTTCAAATTTTTTGCACTTTTATTTATAGCGCAAAAAGTAAAGTGCCCAGTGGCAATTAAATACCACCAAAAGAAAGCTCTATTTGTGAGGAAAAAAATGATCAAAATTTCATATGGGTACAATGTTGCATGACCGCGCAATTGTCAAAGTGCGGCAGCGCTGAAAGCTGAAAATTGGCCTGGTAAATAAGGGGGTATAAGTGCCTGGTAGGCAAGTGGTTAATCACTAATGGGGTTTTTATTCTTTGCTAAATTAACAAAAAAAAGACAGAAAATTTTGAAATAAAAAAAAAAAAAACTGTTATAAAAGTTTGCAAATAAATAATTGTTCTTCATAAATTTAGGCCAAGATGTATTCTGCTACATTTCTTTGGTGAAAATACCCAAATTAGTATTTATTATTTAGTCTGTAGGAAAGTTATAGAGTTCACAAACTCTGGGATATATCGGAAAATTGATCAATCCTGAAGTACTGACAGCCAATCTAATTTCTTGAGGTCCAAGAATGTCAGAACAGTACAGATATCCCCCAAATGACTCCTTTTTGCAAAGTAGACAGTCCAACGTATTTCATAACAGGCACGGAGAGTTTTTTGAAGTTATAATTTTTTTGTCATACTTTTTCGGAAAATGAAGAAATTAAAAAAAATTGTCACTATTTTTTTTTTACATACTGTCACCAATGCAGTACAGCATCATCATATAACTGGCATTGCAGTGATCAGGGACACTGACTGGTGACAGTACAAAAATAAAATTGATCATTTTTAATTTTTGTTTTTATTTTTGTATTTTTAATTTATTACATTTTTTTTTCATATTTCACTATGACCAAAGTAGTATACTGTTAGCATAGTAACATTGTACTACTTTGGGGAAGTGATCAGTTTTTTGTTTTTTTTTTTTTGTTTTTTTTACACAATTTGCTTATAGCAAAGAATTACTTTGCTATAAGCAAGCATTTAACCTTAATGAAATCGATTCATTCAGGTTTTTTTTTGTGCTTAGCTATGATTTGGCCATGGCAAATCACATGACACAGCTGTGCTGTGATTAGCCCAGCTTGTGCATGTAATCGCTGTGAACATTCACAGCTAGACACACTTGTATACAATGTATGGCATGAAAGGAAGCCATCCATAGTATACAACTGTCATGTGACCTGCTGTGATTGGTCACAGAAGGTCACATGGTACTGGCAACGGGGCTGGTACACAGATCTGTCATTGGCCATATCCGAGGTACACGGCCGGTGATGGATCGCACCGCAGCGCGGCCCAGCGGGCACGCACAATGCTTGTTCCTAAAAGGACGAGCTGGTCGCCCAGCCGCCATCTGGCTATAGGCCGGGCGGCAACTGGTTAAAGTAACGCAGCGCCATATCGCAAAAAAAATGGCCTGGTCAGGAAGGGGGGGGGGTAAATCCTCTGGAGGGCATTTGGTTAATAGTAGCCCAACCAGCAGAGCATACTTACCTGTCCTTCATTCCATTGGTGCTCTGTTTGGCCACAGGGTGTGAAGAAAAATACTTGATACTGGGGAAAAAGAAAAGAAGCATGTGACTCACACTCCTTACTCCTATGTAACAATGTTGGAGCTCAAAAACTAGCCCATTAAACACCCAACACTGTCACATGGTGCAGGAAGAGAGCCCTCCAGTAAAGCTTCATGTTGTGACTTGAAGGGCTTTCTTTCTTCTAGGGGCTGAACCAACAGATGAGTAAAGAGAAGAGAAGTACGTTGTGCAGCTGGTGGAGCTATTTAAGTGAACCCTTTGTTTGAGCTACATTGGAAAAGAAGAGGTTTCACTTTAATGTTGGAGGATATTTCCAGAGGACATCAAAAAGAGGGGAAAAAGTTATGAAGTAGAGTTTTTCTTTGACTGTCCTTCAGCCCGCTGCTCTCTTTAATGCATTTGTGTACCGTGGCCGCATGCATTTCTATGGGATGAAAAATGTCTGCAGGACCACTGAAGGCCATATTACGTAAGGCAATTCCAATAGGGAATGAATGAGGCCATGGTGTGTATAAAGAGGAACCAGTTGGGATTTTCTGATGGCTATACAGTGCCAGACAGGGTCACACAGGAAACAACACTGGATCAGGAAGGAAGATACATATGTTACTGGGTGAACTGTACTCGGGGGGTGTGGGAACGCAATTAAAGAGCAACTTCATCAAAGAAGTGAAGTTATTATATTATTATACAGGATTTATATAGCGCCAACAGTTTGCTCAGCGCTTTACAATATAAAGTTCCTTCTTAAGAATTGATTGCCTTCTGAACAAGGAGGTGGCTATTCTGGGATGACTGCCTGTTAGTTTGCCAAAAATCTGTGAATTAAAGAGGTGCTCCAGCTTTGGAGAATTGGATCCTTGTAAAAGTGTTTCTATGTCAAAGCTGCTAGAAGAGGAGTATGCTATTGTGTTTCACTATGTTTTAAACCAGTGTTTCTCAACCTTTTTTCAGTCAAAGCACCCTTTAAAATTATGGACAGTCCTGAGGCACCCTTTAAAATTATGGACAGTTTTGAGGCACCCCATTCTAAAATGGGGTGCCTCAAGACCATCCATAATTTTAAAAGGGCACCACATTCTAAATTATGAAAAACTATTCTAATAATTTTATATAAATGCAGCAACATCCACACATGTAGGACACCCAACATTAGAGATAATTTATTCTTCCAAAGCAAATACACTTTTACACACTGGTCCTGAGTAGTATTCCAATGTTTCTCCTCTCCCTCAGTTTTTCTGCATCACTGAGCTAATGTGACCCCAGCACTGATGGAGAGGGGCAGGGGAGGGTCAAACTAGGATGCTGTGCAGGCAGCAGACATCCTCCTTATCAACTGATGATGTCATTGGTTATCAGGATGCCGGCGGCTAGAAGGTCTTAACGGTTCACAATGAAAACCTGTGACTTCGTGTAACTACAAGGCAGGCATGTTCCACCCATTGGCTTGTAAACTAGTTTGGGCAATTTTTAGCAATTTTGCCAAGGCACCCCTGAAGAAACCTCAAGGCACCCTGGTTGAGAAAGGCTGTTTTAAACAAACATATCTAAGCACCAATATATGCCAAAACGTGACATCTCAGCACTGGCAAATGTTCCAATTTATGAAATTGCAACAACTCAAAAAAATCCACGTTTGTTTCTCAAGGCCTCAAAATTTGAAGCATTCCAGGCCCCTTAAATTAAGACTGATGGCAGTAAAAGAGAAAGCACAAAATGAAAGGTTTTTATGTGTAATGTGGTGTTAGAAGTGACAGTTTTAATAAAGGCTGACGGTGGACATTATGATATCCAGTAATTTTGATCCCTAGGCTCAGATTATTCTCAGAGAATGAAGGGAACCTCACAGCTACTTGTAATGCAGGTCCTCCTGGAATCATGCCATGCAAGTAATTTACCTAAGAGATTAGGCAAGTGTCCAGCCAGCAGGGTTATACTCATGTCACACAGTCATTTTTAGCCCCACCACAAAGCGATGAAATAATGCAGCTATGAAGCTCAAGCAAGCGGTTACACACATAGGCTGAAAACCTGGAATATAAAATAGGTATGCACTAACAGGTACATAGTAAAATAATAGATATGTTAGTGCTCCGAACTTTATATGCCTTTAAGATGAACTCCAGAAGTCAATAAAATTACCACATAAGAGCTGTTTTACTTGTAAAAGCATTACTGTCCATTCCATCATTACATTTTCTCAGCCCAGTCAGACAGATGACACCACTTTCTGAGTAACTGTTATTTACTGCAGAAGGAATCTATTCATGTCTTCTTCCCACCTCCAGCCTGCTCAAAGGACATTGAAAGAGCAACAGAATACTAATGAGGTCACCCCCTGCTCACTTTGCTCTCCCCTCTTATTAGTATTTTCCTTTGCAGTAAATTTACATGAAACACACCTGATTGGCTCCCAGTCCTGTCCTCATCCCCCATTCTCAGTGCTGCTGTATAGGAGACTGAAAGAAGCTGCAATGAAGTCAAATTCATGGACCTGAAAGATAGGTAAGGGCTTTAAAAAGGAAAACAAAATTATACTCACCTAAGTAGATGCATCATCGGTCCAATGCTGACCGCTCAGTCCTCGGTATTCACGGAACACAGAGCCAGTGACTGACAGTCACCGGCTCCCTGCTCTGCCCCTCCAGCGCTCACTAGAGCACTGGGCTGTGGAAGGGGCAGGAGTGGCTGATTCAGTGCACTCCCTGTAATCCATAGGGGAAGTAGGGCCAAATGAACTTTGGCTATAATTCTCCTTTAAGTTGGCCATAGTTGGATTGGAATTTTGATCCATGTATCATTAGATCGATTTATGCAGAAAGGCAATGTTGGAAAAATGTTAATGATTCTGAAAACGGAGAGTCCCGCTGTTAGAATACAATGTCTCGGTGTGGGGCGATTCTTTCTTCCATTCCACTGGTGTAGATGGAGAAGTCCATTCATTTCCTTTTCATTCAACGCACTGGCTTATAAAAAAAAAATATCAGTCTATGACCAGCTTTACGCTACGTAGCTGCAGTCACGGAGTCTTATGATCTACCAAAACTGAAATTATTCTTTTTGATGGATTAACACTTTAAAAAATTGG